CGCTTTGCAAGAGCCGAGGCTGCCGGGCGGGAGTCTCCCGAACGCAGCGGTCACCACRGAGCGTGTTCGGTGCCTACACATGTTCCTTCCTCCGGGAGCCAGGGAGCCTGAGAGCGGCCCGGAGCCGAGCGGGCAGAGTCACCGGGAGGACCCAGCTTTGGCGGGGAGAAGGGTCTCTAGCTGGCGACTAATACGCATGTTCAGGCAGCCCGAGCATTACATGGATTAGAGCTCCTTATCATTGTTCCTCTTTATTGGCCCAATATGCTCATGGTAATTCAAAACCCTTTCTCAGGAACACTTTAAATTACCAAAGCATAAATATCTTCTCACTGTTTTCTAATAGTAACCCAGGAACATTAAATTACGCAGTAATTACCATGTGGTGGATGGATAACAGCCTGGTTAGTTCTGTGTCATTGCAAGAAAAATATATGGTTATTTCTGTGTTTGCAGTGCTGCAAATTCATGGCAACTTCCCTAGCACTAATTACACAGCAATCCGTATGCGCCAGGAACAGGCGCTGCAGATATTTATCAGTCAGACCAGGTCACCACACAACTGTGCAGCACTGCTCCCAGGTCTGCGTCCCTCTCGTTTTAGCTGCTACCAGATTACACAACTGCAAGATAAGGCTTTTCTCTTGAAAGGAAAGCTTAATTAGTTCTTCTTCTAGGGTTGCAAAAATGGTACTTTCTGTTAAATGATGGATTTTACATTCTAATAAACTGACATGATTTAAAAATATATACAGACATGTGCCTTTTGCAATGATTTTTCTAACAATAGGAGAATTTCCACAGAAATGGAATTCTCTAGCAAATAATTATATTTGCAAATATTATTTGCACAGTGCAAGGCATTAGCATGCTAAATGACATTGCGAGGTCTGAATTTATTACCACCAGGCTGCATATTATAAACACTGTGCTTGGCTCCAAACAAGAAAACGTGGGCATATTTACTGACCTGTTTGTTTAAGATTCCAGCTGTTAGGGCAAGAAGAACTGCCAACATCGTAGTACGTGGTGGGGGATGCATTGGAGGCCTGGGATATCCTTTTGTCCATTCTTTTAAAAACTGGCAAACTGATAAAGGCTGCTCATGGTTCTGGGCCAGCACAATTCTGTTTCTACCAGGCTCGATGGGGGAACAAACTCATAGTTAATTAGTATCAAGGGCTGAGCGGAAAGAGGGAACAGTTGCACGGTTGCAGCAAAAAGAAAACCTGTCTTTTGGCCTATCAGTTCTCACTGCTTTGGTGGAAATCACTTTTGAGATGGATTTTTCTCTCTCTCTCGCAGAGTTAAAACTCCCTGCGAACAGCAAGAGAAGTGCAATTCATATGAATGGAAGGTTTAGGCTTTTTGGTCACTGCCACTTCTAATGTTTTTTAAACTATGGATAGCAAAAGAGAACGAATAAAGCAAGTCAGCGTCTGCTCATCTTCATGGCATGAAACCAAAGCCAACTCCAGGAAACGAATCTAAAATTGACTCTGGAATACCACAAATCCTAAAAGGCTACGCATTTACACGGTTTATAAAGAAATGTTAGCAAAATGAGACAGGGTATTGATTGCATGCTACCGCCACCACTTGCAAACAAGGCTTATTGGCTCCTCCAACACTCCTCGCAGGGGCCAGCTCAGCTGCTATGTCATTCCAAGATACTCTTGAAACACATTTTTATTAAATTTAGATTAATAATCTAATACTTGCTCCTATTTTCCTTCTAATTAGGATGAAAGCAGGCAATTGTCCCTATAAGTCCAGCCCTGCACAAGTAGCGCCGCGGCTCGCAGGCTGCCACGGCCGCAGGTGCGAGCTGGAGCGCWGCTGCAAAGGGTTCCTGTCATTTGCTGTACCCGGTCCTTAACACAAAGATCCTGCACACCCAGACAAAATGACTGCAAGGCAGCTCACAGGGTAAGACAGAAAGGACTTGATCTTCTGGAAGCAGAGATATCATATGAGAAACGTGGAGAGCAGAAGTGCACAGAGCCGGTGCCTGCACACACTGCATGCAGCAAACAGGGGGTACACAAGGACCTCGCACTCCGCAGGCCTCACTGCAAGCACGAGCTGCATGTGTTGCTCATGGTGATTTGCAAAATGCATGGGCCAGATATTTTACAGATCAGGTCTTTATATTAGTCAGGGATAAAATAAATTGAAAGGAAGGTTTATATCTTCCCTGTCTAGAAGGGAAACATCCTCCAGAAGTAGGAAAAAAATAATTGCAGTATTGAGCTTGCTGGAGGATTCCCATTGCAGAAGTTCTGGGCAGTCCGAACACACAAGGCAAATGAAGGGCGATTCCCAGAGTCCTATGAAGAATGCCTGTAGGTGGGAGCATATGAAATGTGTGGCTGGAAGACAATCAAAAGACCATCCGCTCCTCCCGCAAGGGTGAAACGAGCCTTTTGCCAGCAGTTCACAGTGTGCTCTGCGAAGAATCAAGGTTAAAAAGACGCAAAGGAAACAAAAGGGAAAAAATTCCTCCTTAAAACAGCCGCGTTAATCTCTTCCCAATGTACTCAATGTAGACATTAACAGCGACCAAAAGTCAATTCAACAAAACCATTATATGCTTGGTCTTCTCCCCTCAAATCATATGATTTGAATTAAAAAAAAAAAAATTAATGAAACATAGCTATTAACAGTATCAGAAAATTTAAATTGTGATTACATGTCTTTTACAGCAAGGCTCTCCCTTTCCACTATAGATCGAAATACGTTTTTCCAGCACTCCTCAGCTCAAATTCTCCTCATTGTCTGGCTGCCAAAAAGCAAGGGCACTTGAGAGGTTCTCTAATGTGTAATCCCTTTTTATATTCTGTATTATGGAGGAACTCAAAGACAAGATATCTGCATTATCTTAAATAAACTAAAATGTATTTCAAAAAGCTTCTTGAGTCAAAAAGTAGCAAATCATTGTATGTATTTTCCATATTTGTATAGGTTTCATTATATTCTCAATCTAAGTTACTCTTAAGTCTCTTTCATATTTAAAAAACGAACTACACACCTATCATGCAAAAGGTAAAGAAGTATGTTCAACTAGTTCAAATTAGATATACATTAAAAATACACTTCCAAAGAAATATCATTTCCATTTTCGTTCATGTTTTTAACAGAATTTCAGACTAATACATCAAATGTGGAACTGTACAAGTATGTGAAGAAACATTAGGATTGCAGTAGTAAAAAAATGTACAGCATTCAAAACCAACAAGCTCTAAACAACCAAACAATACCACAGGATTGAAACAGTCATGGGGACAACATAGGTCATTGGAGCCAGTGAGTGAATCCTAATGCACCTACATAAAGGCCCTACATAGAATATTGTCTCTTATTTATATGCAAAATCCCTGATTTGATTAAACCAGACAATTCATCTAATTGTCTTTTATAGGTTTCAGATAATATTAACGTTAGAGTACTCCTCTCCATGAATTTTAGTTACTTGAAAAGGCAATATTGAGAACTGATTTGAAAGGTATTTCCATCCGTGTGGATTCAGGTAGTTAAAATACAAGACCACAAATCATAGCACTGCAATTTTAAAGAACCATTTGAATTGTTGTCAGCTACATTTGCCATAAAACACTTACGAATTCAAGATTCAGTTTTTAAAATCTATCTGGTTACAAGTTAATACACAGGATTTTTAATAATGGGCAGTATCCATTTAACATCGGACCAACATTGCCTTTTAAATCAAGAAACAATCCACTTAAGCATGTCATAGAAATAAAATCTCCAAGGTAAATGACAACGAACAAAACAACACATACAGCAGAATATCTGCGGCTGAACAGCTTCGAAAGGCAGGTGTGCACTCGATACAGTCCCCTAGCCAGTACAGTTTCCTTAGTGGACATTAAGAGGAAAAGGTGTCTTGGACAAACTAGCAAAGGTTATTAACTCCACCTGATTTTTTTGATATGTCTTCGGAGTGCACAAACTTACAAGCCYAGGCTGTGCCAGCGCGCTTGCTGCAGGGACGCATCCCTCCCGCAGCTCCAGCTCTGAAGGGCTACCTCGCTTCGCAGAGTTCACCTGAACTTTTTTAAAGCTGAAGTGTGAAATAAAAGGTTAATAAATGACCTAATTATGTCAGCATTTCTATCCCACAGTCCTCAGACACTGAGATCTCTCACTGATCTCCCTAGGAATTTGGCATGCGCAGGAACGGCAAATTTTCAGCTGAGAAAGCTGAATAAATATAGCATTTTTAAACCAAAACATTGTTTCCACAGAGTCTGGCCTAATAAATCATCTTCAGTGCACTGAGAAGGGCAAAGGACCTGAATCTTGGCACCTATCTTACTCTTTATCTAGAAAAATCTTTTAGCAATTTCGATCCAGAAGGAATGACAGATCAGGTTCAGAGGGCTAGCCACTTAAAACCTAATATTCCAGATGGAAAATCCAATTGTAACAGGTTTGCAAAGGAGCAGCCGTACTCAGGCTATGCATCACTCAGCCCATAAAACCACAGGGCAAACAGTATGGGGTGCACTCATTCTCCTAAGGTATGTTGAGGTATATACTCATTATTTTCTTAATTACAGAAAAGCATCTTTAAAAATGACAGAGAAAAGCTCTAAGTATGAGTGATATTCTGCACAAATTTTATGTGGAGAACGAATTAAGTTAATTTAAAAGGTCCAAAATAGTTAAAGGAATAGCTACTTTCATTAGGATTGGTAATATCATACTCTTCCCTAGCTTTTCATTCCTTCAAAGCACTACAAAAAAAAAAGCTGTCAGGCCATAATTTTGTCTCCTCTTTGTCCACGAATGGCACAAACCAAGCTGAAACATCTCCTTCTCTTCCCTGGGGACAATGTTGGCAGCGTCGCCTCGGCCAGCGGCGGCTGTGGCCACGCAGCTCCCRGTGCCTCGCTCGCCCTGCCCAGGGGCACCGGCCGTCGCTGCGCGGGGCCGGCTGTTCTCGTAAAGCCCAGCGGAAGCCAAGGTTCCTTTCAGCACCAAAGCTAAGCACAGTTTGTCTGCCTGAATTTTAACATTATACGATCATTTCTACCTGCAACTAACAATTATTTATTTCTCTATAATGAAAATACCTGGACCGTTGTACAAGCTGGATTCCTCACCCATGTACACTTCGGAACAGGAGGCATGTTTACAACACACTCAGAGTTCATCTTAGGCAGATATTGTGTTTGAACTGTGATTTTCTAATCCATTTAAATACAATCAGCCTACCTCAATTGCAAAATTAATGTTAAATGTAACTGCAGCCATTACCAAGTAGTTTCCATAAGTGGTTTTATTACTGGTTAGGTTTTACAAATTCTGGTATTCGAACAGACTTTGACCTTAAAATTCTAAAACAACAAAGCAACCAATGAAAGGCTTAGGACTATYCAAAGTAACAAACTCTTAACATTTTTGCCCTGGTCATAAATATACAGAGAGAAAAAGAGAGAAGTGGACATGGAATCCAAAGTAGATAAAACAGTATATAAGGCACATGGCAGTCTTTGAAAATACAGAAGCTTTAGCCAACTTAAATTAATTGCTGTTTCCCTTGCTCAGTCCACAAAACTGTACAGTTACACAAATGTTGTGTTGCAATAGATCTTCCAAGTTATTCTTCAGTCCATACTCCATAATACCAGAACACTACATTTCCTTCTGTTTTTAGGAGAGATCCTAATTGTGGTTAGTCAGTTGCTCAAAGCCTCTATTAAAATACACTTGGAATTTCAACTAAGAATAATTTCTTTTTTAAAGAAATTATTGAGAAAGAGTCATCAGAAAAGGTTTGTAAGAGTTGTCTGTGAAGGACTTCGAGATTCATGAACCTCAAGACTTCCGGGCACTGACGTCAAGACAGATGTCACAGTAGGCATAGTAGGATTAGTCAAGTCCGTTAAGGTAGTGGGAGTGCTGGATGGACTCATGGAGGCATTGGATATTTCTGAGGCAGGACCTGATGGGGTCCCTGCTTGGAGTGTTGAATCTGAAGTCTTATCCACCCCTGTGTTTTCTTGACGTAAGAGGTTCCGTCTGAATTTGGCTCGGGCATTTTGAAACCAAACCTGAAATAGTTTAATACAACAGGGTAGCATTTAAAGAGCTGCAGTGTTGAGGAGACAAAAAAAAAAAAAAAAAAAAAAAAAAGTAACGAGAAAAGCAAAAGCATATTCACAAATTCACCAATGCTTGAATTAGAGAAGATGTTTTTACTGGTCACGTTAGGAGAGCAGCCACAGTCTGGAGAACTGTCCTCTGTGTGCGCTGCAAGGCCATCCCCTGCCTCCCCTGCAGCTCTCTGTGCCAAGAGTGCCCAGAGTGGGCACAGCAAGTGGGCAAGGAGGGAGGAGAGGGGCCTTTCCCCGCAGGCTGCGCAGAAGGATGCCTAGAAACCTGGCAACCCCACGGACCCCTCACTGCCGGAAGGGTTTGTCAGGACGGGGCGAGAAACCAAGCACCCGATGCCTACAACATAACGAGTGTCACAAACCTGCCTCTCTAGTCCAGTCCCATCAGAGGCAGGAGGTGCCTGGACCTGGCCCAGGGCACCCTGCCTTTTGAGCAGCGATTGCACTTTGCTGAGACGACTGCCCCTCTTCCTTACTGTTTTCTGTTCCTTCCTTCTCAAATGCTTCAGTCCCCATCCCTCACCCCAATCTCCATTTTTATACTTGCTAAGTATTGTAATGAAGATAGAGACTTGAATAGCATTAAAGACTCAAAGCTCATTTAAAACTGTTATCTCAGAAGAAATGATATTCACAGACAGAAATACTTTTCCAGGATTGCTACTTCTTGCATTATCTCTTCGTTATCTGACCATGAACAAAGGACAAAAGCTATGACTTCATCTTCTCCAATTAAATTTCAAGGTCTAGATCCCAGTTGGTGCTCTCCACTGACTACAGGATTTGTTTAAAGATAAAATATATGTCTGATCTACATGAAAATATATATAATGAAATGTGTTTGTGAAATTTGCATGAAACACAGGTATAAAATACCACTTAAATATGAAAATGTCATTAAATACCCTACGTTCAACCTGACATATGTCGATATTGGCTAACTGCACAGATAGAAGCTAGCTGGAAAGTCACAGGACTGAGTTATTGGAAGGACTTATGTCATTGTTACAGTCCTAGCAACTGACCCTGTGCGGGTCACCATAGCCCCACACTGACCCGCTCTGAGGAATATGAGCAATTCTTTCCACTGCAGATGCAACGTGGCCCCATGCCTGTGCTCCTGCCCGGAAGGGGCCAAGGGGGTGAAAATCGCTGCATTTCCACCCTGACCCATCGCATTCCCCTGCACTGCCAGTACAGGGCAGCGGGGCGCGCGGAGCTCACACGGCCACAGCACAGCCAGACCAACCTCGACAGAAATCCTATCTGTGACTCAGAAGCAGCCCTGGCCCTGCCGAGGATCTGCTTTTACCCTTTACCACTAGCGATAATAGAGGCGAAGTGCAAAGAGGAGCTCACAGGTGGTCACTGCTGACACTCACGGACACCACTCTTAAGTCGCAATTAAAGCAAAATAGTCTCTAGTGCAATTGCATATACACACATACATAGACTATCACATAATTTTACACTAATGTTCATAAATGCATATATATTTATACATGGAAGAGCTCCAGATATTAAGTGGATAATTGTTATAAAGATCTTTAAAGTGGTCCGGCATAAATATTTGCATTATTGCTGAAAAGACATCTAAATATTGATTAGCTAAATTCTGAAAATATTTTCCTTTATATTAAAAAGGAATAACATAAAATAATGATCACAATTGCAGTACTCTGGTATGCATTCAGGATATGAAAGTTTTCAGCAAAGCGTTTGCACTGCGGAGAACTGAAAGACCTGGCAGTGTTGTTCTCTGGGGCGCAGGCATGTGGCCCGCTCTCCGCTGCCCGTGCTGCTGCTCGGAGCTGTGCAGGGGCCGGCGGCCAGGACGGCAGCCCCTGCACAACGGCCCGAGTGCTCCCATCACCGCCGCGGCCCTGCACCTGCGACCTAGCGCATCAAAGCAGGGAAATAATGACCCAAATACACCTAACTGGAAGAATTATTCCAGAAGGACTTATCTCACATCAATTACACAATTAGGAATCTGGTCTTCAATACTGAAGAACAGACAAAATCAGTGGGAAGTACKTAGTGTTTTTCTGTCCAACTGTATCATTATAGGGCCGAGCTATTTCAAATCCAACAAGAAAAATRTGGAGTAAAACTCTCACTGAAAAATAAAAGCAGCTGCATGACCAACCATCGATCCTACTAGACCCCAGTCAGAGCTGAGCATCCGTAGCCGGGCAGCTCAGCCGCTAGGCAGAGGGCTCGGCGGTTAACACGGTACATCGCAATTCTGCAGGGGCTGCACAGCTGCTTTGGCTTCTGTGCCTCAGCTGCCCGGCTGTAAAACAGGGATAAAATAACTTCTTCAGAAGGACAGGAAAGTTCTGAAAATAAATGCACAAAGTACTGCAGAGGATTCCAATGATCGCCTAAGATAATTTCAATTTGTATTTATCAAGTCTCCATTCTCGCAACTATGATATATTAGTAATACACATAGCTTGAGCTAGAAGCAAATTTTTAAGCACAATTTTGTTATTTCACACAGCTAACTGGGAGACATTACGCTTTTCTGAATCTTACTAGATAATACAGGGAAAAATGCAGATAGAAGCGTAGTGGATGTTGCACCACAAAGCAAACCTCGCTCACTCAGTGCATGCACGTTCTGGCTGTTCTGTTCCGATTAGTACTGACGCGGCTGGAGCGGGGCTGGAGGAGCTCTTGTGGATGCAGCCTCAGACAGGGCTACCCCAACGCAAGCTGTGCCGAAAGGAGCGCGGGTACCGACACACCGCTGTGAGCAGCCCTGTGCCTGCTGATCCCTGGCTACTGCACCCCCAAAGCGGGAGCGCAGGCAGAGGGGGGTCCGGAGCGACGTCCCAGGGGAGCAGTTCAGACAAGTGGACACAGTGCCCACGGAACCAGAGCGGCCACATTGCTGAACTGCTTCTGCCACGACAGTGATATTCCCACATCCCGGGCAGCGGAGAGGCCCTGGACATACCTGCGGCTGGCAAACCACATCTTTTAGGGCTTCCTGCTCCCACTTTTATGAACTTGGAATAAGAAAAATCAGTTTGCAAAGAATAATATTTGTGCCAATTAGTTAGCTCACAATTAGCCGGTTACTTCAATTGCAAATGAAAGCTTACCATAATAGGCATGTGTTCCCGGCTGCAACACAAGGGGTATGCAAATCAATTTGCAAACATGAAGTTAAATGTGAGCGAAAATAAATAAAAATGCGGGGCACAAATAWAAACAGACTTACTGGGATTCTAATGTGGCTACTTAAGAAAATAGTCTTCATTACAAAGCTACTAAAGGAAATGTAATTTATGGAGCAGTATGTGATGTTTCAACGCCGTTCTGCTCCTGGACATGGGTAGCTGATGACTAACTGCATGTACAGCCAAGAGAGGAGTCAYATTTTCCAAGCCTGATATCGCACATCACGAAGAACTGGGCCAAATTCTCCTCTCACGCACCAACAAACTACCCCCTTCCATGTTCTGTGGGACTATCTCCATAGCAAGGGCACTAGAGCCATTTCCTCACGCGCGGGGAACTTCGCCRTAGACGCTTGGGAAGCTCACCGGGCTCGGTACAAGAGACAGCTGTCTTTGTCTTCATCTGCTCTCTAGTATTTTATATTAAAATATATTCTACTGAGGATACATAAAGAAACACTGTCTTTCATCAGCGGAACTGAGACTTGAACATATCAAAAATACAACAATTTACAAACATGCCTAGTAGTTAAATAGAGAATACTGAGAATTTCTTACTACTGGGATGTACGCACATACGTTTGGGAGTCCGTGTGCCTTCAGTATGTAAGATGAGTTAATAGCACTGATGCTTTTTGAGATCAACAGTGTCAGCGAGTTACAACATGTTCAATAAATGACTCAGATGGAATGCCAACCTCTCTGGCTCAGAAGAACTTACAGGTGACACTATCTCTGTAACCAACATCAGGCAGAGTTTTCCTCCACCTTTAAACTAGTACAGATGAACTTCGGGGTTTGAAAAAACTGCCTCAGTGGCTTCAGAAACCTCCCCTACTTCCTCTGACGGGTTAGAAATAAAAAAGCAGGTTCGTTTGTTTGTTTGTTTTGTGGCCCAAATTAATTTTCAAACAAAAGGYCCCCCCAAAAAAAGAGAAAGCACTCGTAACAGCCAGGAAAACTCAGAGTCAGAGTGATCCTGGACAAAGCATCACTGAGTCATTTTCTTGAGGTGCCTCCAACAGTATCATCCTCCGGGCGCAATCCTCACCATCAGCTACTACCTTCCACCACTCTTCAGCCAAAGCAGCCCAGGGATAAAGCAGTATTTCACTATGGAAGTGAAAGAAGTGAAACACTAATTTCCAAAAATATAAAAAACGATTAGTGGAATTGCAAAGGACTACTACAAAATAAAAGGAGCATTAAACCCCCTCAAAATGCCAAGATGCAGTGTATTAGGTGGAAACAGAAGCAATAAAGAGATTGAAGGAGGAYTGGAGTGCAGTGGCGACACGGAGTAAAACTTTGGAGATGAGAAAATGCATTGCAAAGGGGAAGGAAGGAACACAAAAAATAATGTGGACAAGAAGTGGAAGGACAGACGATTAGAAGAAGGGAGAAGAAGTGATGGAAATCTAAACTGATGTAGGGTGAGAAGAGAGAACAGAAGGATGATCAAGAAAAAGACGTTTTGTGGATGCTGATCTCCTTTCTTAGTGAGGTATGGAAAACTGCTCAGACAAATCAGGTATGAATGTACAGCAAGGAACAGAAGAGAGAATTCTAAATTGTGTCTCAACTCTAAGGATAAAATAAAGAAGTGTCAAAATAAAGACAGACAAATGCAGAAAAACTCCTTCCTTCACGCACATGGATAAAGGAGAGCTGCTCTGAGAGACACTACATCTAGTCTTGGGGCACGCACCAAGCACACAGTCCCACCACCCCAAACCACCACCACTAAAACAATTAATAGYAAGCTACGGAGGAGACGGCCAAGAGAAAAAAAAATGCTTCCTTTTTTTGTTTTTTATTGTGAATCCTACAAAATCTTTATTCCTCTTTCTGAATTGTAAAATTCAAACTCTCTTCAGGGAATAGATCTTTTCCTCAGTATTTTTTCATCTACTGCCTTCATCTCCTTTTCATTCACTTGCCTACAAACTGGGGAGAGCTGCCCACGACCCCCTCCCAGGGCCCTGTCACTGAACCCCAGCTGTCCCTGCAGAACCTACAAACCATTTTCCTTCCATCAGGATTCATTTAAAGGTTTCAGTAGGAGATTCTGGCATGCCATCACTCCCACATGTCCCAATTTATGTCTGGTTGTGGTTATTTGGATAAGTGCCAATTAAAATTTGACTTCTTGAATCATGACTATAAATTAAAATGGAGCTGTATCAACTAATATTCCCACTTTTGCTTCCCATAATAATTCAAATTGAGTGCATATCCTTGAAGAGGATTTCGGCGCAGCTTTCGGCGAAAGTCTTTTCAAAATGCTCTCCCCTTTCATTCTAAGTTACTAAACCATGAATATAAAAAAGAACTTTAAAAAACAATTTTATGTCCCCTTCAGCTGCAAAAGAACTATCACCTTCCCTGCCCTGATAAAATAAATCCAGGCTTCTMTTTAATTTCTTGTGAAGGCAACCATTCATAGTAATCTCTAATCTAAGTCTTCTCTAATTACAATGAACACAGCAATAAAAATATTTTACCGTTTCTTATGGTAGACTGGAAGCTAAAATATGGACCAGCATTAATTAACTTTGGGCAAACAAGTAGGGCTCCGGACCTTCACAACTGCCATTAAGAGGTGAGAAACCAAGTTGCCTACCTTTGGAAACCTTTTCTTGAACTATCTAGAATTCAACTGGAGTCTTGCAGAAGGTGTCGAGAATTAAGAAAAGCTGGAGCATGGGCAAAATCCAGTGTTTCAAACCTAAAGCTGCTACTTTATTTATGTTTTGAGAGCAAAGGCTCTGCTCTTACCTGCAGAACTCTTTTGGTCAGGCCGGTTTTCTGAGCTAGCTGTTTCAAGTCCTTGGCGTCGGGATTGTGGTTAATAGCAAAGTACGACTTCATTGTCCGCAACTGGTGGTGTTTGAACGACGTCCTCATGCGCTTTGTTTTCTGATTGCTGGGGTATTGCTGGTCTCTATCCAGGTGGTCACCATCGTTTTCATTGCAGCTTAAAGCTTAAGGCAACAAGAGGAAAAGGCGTGTAAATCTATTGCTCTGTGACCAACATTGTTTGCAGTTCATGCGAGTGCAGCAATTAAAATAACATGCCATGGCATGTATTGTCCTGGCACAAATCCTACTTGCCTTCCCACCATCGCTGCATCTTCTATTTTTCCCGTACAATAAGCAGGCTGCGAGGACCCTCACCTGCCTCTTTATGGCTTTTAAAATGTCAGGTCTGCTTCCTTTTTTCTTTCCTACAGCTTTACACAGCCTGTCCCCCACTTGCAGCCTGTAGGACAGGAGCTGTCCTCAACTCTGTAAAGTGTTTTAATGTACTTTGTATCGCTAGAAATTGCATTGTAACATAAAAAGAAAGCTATACAATGTAGGCCACTTAAATCTCGATGGAACAGACCAGTTAAAATTATAATTATTTCCTCCATCAATGTAAACCCTGTAGAGCACAGGAGAGACCATTAAATGAAACACTATAAAAAAAAATAAAGTTTGTGGTACCAGACAGCAATTATGACTATAATTTGACTAGCTAAAGAAATAAAGCTGTTAACACAATGGATCAGTGACATGCCAAATGAAAATATACACCTTTCCAAATACTTGCATAACTACATTCATTTAACAAAAAAAAAAGAAAATACTAGCATGAATGATCAATTCTGTTACTTCCCTTTGAAATCACCAAACCAGACTGCTTGACATATCTGCATAAACCAGCTATAATGATTCTACAGGATGTATAGGAGCAAGGAACATTATTGTAATTATTAAATTGTATTAAATGTTGAAAGGCAACCAAAATATTCTCATGGACAAAAAAAAAGTGCATATAGTAAAACACAGAAAAACTCATAAACAAAACAACATTAAGGATTAGGCTTAAATAGTTCTTTAGGCTTTTTCAGGCTTAAATTTAGGATTTTTTGGGCTTAAAAAAAAGCATGTATATATATCAGAAAATTATCTGTGATGAACTGTCRTCAATTTATTTCTCTGCACTGATATTTGCAACTTCCTTTTAATATTCTAGAAGTTTTGCATTACAAATAGGGGAAATATCACTACTATCTCCTGTTTTACATTGCATCAAAAAAAAAGTATTAGTRGAGCTTTAATATGTGAATTATTAATCAATTTCTTGGGCACATAAACAGATTTATTTTAAYTGTCCATTAYTGCTGATTCATTACAATTCCATACATCTCATAGATACACACATCTTTACAGTCTTACTTTAAATATRTACTATTTATCAGAGGTGTTCAGCCCTATGGAGTAAATATGAATGCTGAAAGGCATGTATTAAACAGTTTTTAAAAATGCTCGTACTATACATGCCCCCATAACAACAAATGCACACAGTTACTATTAAAAGACGTTTTGCAGCGTGTACCGCGGCAGCCCTGCAAACCTGAGCCTTTCAGAAACTTTTAAAAAGACATGGCACGTTACACAGCAAGGCCTGCAGAAAAGCAATGTGAAACCAAAAAGCAGGTTTGTTTAATAGATGCATAGAAAGTATCTGAGGTCTCAGACTCCTCGAGGTGTTGCTGTACACTTTTAATTTAAAAGCCAGCCCCAAACGTTTTGTAGCAGAAGTGCCGTATAGGCCTGTGTGCGTGTGGACGTGTGTGCACAGCGGCTGTCCTGAGCCCTTGCAGGGCGACCAGCCGGGCGCAGCGCAGCCCCGCGCCGCTGCCCAAGGCGCAGGGAACACGGTGGGCGCCGGCGCAGCCGACGGCCACGCAGCTTCCCCGGGCGAGGCCGAGGTCGAGGTCCGGCCACCAACGCAGAGCCACCTCGTGCGCCCTGGCCCCTCTGCCCAGGCTCGGGGAGTCACCGCAGCGCCTTTCCCCATGGCAAATGGTGGTATGGAGACAGGAAGACACACAGCGCTCGGTTTTAAAATTCACTCACAGACTTTTAGACCTTAGAAATGGAAAAGCCCTGTCAGCATTGCCTTAAATGCTTTCAAATCTTCCCAGAAATGAGATGGCAATGATTTAAGAGGATGTGCAAAAAAWTTTACCTAAAAAAAAAAGGAGATTTGTTCATGTTCCTGTGAAATAAAACAAGCCCTASGGTTGCAAGTGGCAGCTGGGCTTTAACCTGTTTTGTAAGGAATGAGGTACTTTCAGGACCCAAGGCAGCAAAAGTGATTCTGAAACAGCCCAGAATGGAGTCAGTACATGAGTTTTCCATCAAGCCCTGTCCAGACAGGAACCTTCACTCTTTGAATTACCCATAATTTTACCATCTCATCTACTAAATAGAAGTAATATTAGAGTAATTAGATTAACAGTGTATATGTACCAGTGAGTGTGAGGCAGCAGTTGCCCTTCTCCAGGAAGAAAGCTAAAGAACAGAGCTGTTCAGGTGCACCAGGGCGCCTGCTGCTCCTTGTCTCCCTTGGGCCCCGCATCTAGTCTGATGTAAATACTCCCAGTCAACGCTATTTCTTCTCCCATGTTTAACTCTGGTACTTGGCACCATCTTCACAAGTTTATTTGGAATAGATCTAGTACTACATGCATCTCCCCCCAAATTTGAGATGTCTCTGCATGGGACAGGGACAGACTGGGCCATGGGTACAAGCGTGTGGAGTCTGTAAAAGCTGAGGAGCTTCTGCCAAAGGCATCGTGTCCTTAGAGCAGCCCTCACAGCTCTGCCCCGACTCTGCGTGTCTCCCAGCAGAGCTACCGAGCTACCCATATTCCAGTGGACGGCAGCATCTAGGACTCCTGCTGGGGCACTCACTCAGAAATATACTTGGTAAAATGCCAGCTCAATGRAGGAGTTTTAAATTAACAAATATTTTGTTCCTAGTTGGTGATAAAGTATATTCTGAATTAGTGACAAGTCTCTGAGTTGACCCCAAAGTTTCTATAGAGCCCCTGTGCTTTCCCACTCCACGTGCGCAGGCCCTGGCCCTGCTTCCCCTCGGGCRGCCTCCTTGGCCAGCTCCTCCGTGAGCAGCGGGGCCTGGGCGCCCCTTCCGCCACAAGATGGTGATGTCCACAGAGAAGAGCCCCGCGCGCCGGACTGTGCTCCCTCACGCCGGAGCAGGGCGCTTTCAGACTGGTCTGCAGAGCAGTGCAGAAAAGTGGCTCTGGAAAGGGTGCCCCTCTTCTGCAAGCACTGCTGGAGAAGCAAAGCTGGCAGCATCGTTTCACACTGTGGTCCCCAGATCCCCACAGTGGGGTTCGGAGGAGATGCGTGTGTTTAGCCCCCAGCTACGCGAAAGGCAKGCGGAGATGAGAATGAGGAACTGCCTTTGGAGGAGCTTTTGTTCTTGGTAGCTTGTGTTCAACATGTTAAATTACCCCAAAAGCAAGCAAACTAATACCCATTTCCGAAAGAAGGAAGAAGCAAAAGCCACATTTGGAAGCTGCACCAGTGCTCCATGCACAGYGGCCTGGGAACATCCAGCCCTTCCCTGCCGTGCTGAAGGAGACAAGGGGTGTTTTAACCAGCTGCTGCCTGGAGAGGGAACTTGTGCCTGGCTGGGGCTGACAGGCACAGGCGTGTTTGCCACCTGGCTGAAGCCTGGAAAGGRCTTTGCGGAGCTGGCAGTGAGACGGAGTGCCCTTAGTGGTACTTGGAGCACAAGCAGAGCCCTTCATCCAGGCACAAGGAGAGCAGGCAGAGGCTKGATCCCTTGGCACAAGTGGTCCTGGAGAGGAGCTGGGCTCCCGGTACAAGGCTGCGGCTTGAGGGGCAGGAGACGGGGCCCTGGCTGCTCCTGCTGAGGGCAGGAGGGGAAGGGCCCTCGCACCGAGGTGGGGCCGAGAGGCGCTACCGGGCGAGCGGGGCTCGCGGGCGCACTCCGCGGGCCGTGCAGCCAAGGCCCGAGGGCGCAGAGAGGAGAAGCTGCTTCGCCGGCCACGGAGGGCAGCGTGGCCGGGCCGGCGCCTCGGGGGGCAGYCCCGCCGCCGAACAAAGGGCGGCGCGGAGCGGGGGAGCCGCGGGCCGCGTTTTCCCCTCCATTACCCCGGCTGAAAGGCGCTGCCGGCCGCGCCGAGCGGAGCCCCGGTCCCGCCATTAACCCGGGGCCGCCCTCCCCGCGGCCYTTCCCTTCCCGGCCGGGCAGCCGCTCTGCGCCCCACGCCCGCGCTGCGTGCGGGAGGTGGCCGGGGGCAGGAGGGAACCGCTGCTCCCCCGAGGAAGTGACTGCGAACTCCCCCCCGCAAAGCCACGGCTCCTGTTCGCCTGCTTGGCAACTGCAGGCGCTTATTTTGAGCTCTGCTCCCAAGGGAAAGGAGGAGGGAAAGGGATAAAAATCGCTCTTTAGAACTTCCCAGGCTTTCCCGGGCTCCGTGAGGAAGCTCGCAGCGAGGGCGGCCCCCCCCGCGCGGGGGCCGCTGCCGAGCCCAAGGGGCTCCCATTCGCGCCCCGCATCTGCCTGGGGGGACGGGGAGCCGCTGGCCCCGCCTGCTGCGCGCGGGATCCGCGGCTACCGGGCCCGGCGGCCGCGGGCTGCGCGGGCACCTGCCGCCCCCAGCACAGCCCGCGGGGAGCCGCAGGTGCCGGCGAGCTCAGCCCGAGCAGCCCCAGCGGCAGCGAGAGAAGGAAGAAACTCTCATTGCAGGAACCAACTAAAAAAAAAAAAAAAAAATGGGGGGGGGAGAAAAAAATCTTTTTGAAGTTTCGGCTTCCTTCTAAGCTATTTTCCACTTGTCAGGCTCTATCCACATCTCAAATCCATCATCCCTGTGCAAGCGAAGCCTAGTTTCGTTAAGGAAAGAAAAAAAAAAAAAAAAAAAACAGTGCAAGCCATGCTGCGGAGAGCATTTCACCAAATAATTAATTATTAATAATCAAATATAAATAAGCAATTCACCAAATCCTCCCCGTCTCACGGGGAGGGCTGCTCCTTCCCCCTCCTCTGGGACACTCATCTTCACGAAACCCTGCGCGGAGCAGGGAGCCTCGCGATGGCCACTGGGCAAGGAACGCGCAGCTCCGGCAAAAGGAAARTCACACTTTCAATCAACGATTTCAGTTTAAAATACACCAAAACCAATGCTTGCAGATATTGGYCTGCTTTGTAAAATGTTAAATCAACGGGCAAGCCCATTCGATTTCCAAATTCTGACACTTATTGCCTCATAACTAATCGGCGGCTGGCGCRGTGGGCAGTAGTTCAGGCGAAGACGCCTCTCTTGCCCGAGAAGAGCTTTCGGCTGCAGGGGCCAAGCGAAAATCAAAATAGCAAAGAATCGGGGGGGAAATTTTCGAAATTTTAAGAGCGGCCGCTGGAGGGGCGCCCGGGGCGCGCAGAGCCGGGACGGGCCGCGCTCTGTCCCCCCAGGCGCGGGAGCCGCGCGCGGCTGCGGCCCCTCCGCTGTGCTCAGGTGCCCGCGCCGAGCCGGGACCTCAGCAGCGAATCCCTCCCAACGAGAACCATTTCCAAGGGGCAGGACGCGTGTTTGCCGGGTTTTCAAGCTCCCTGCTCCTCGGGAGAGGCTGTTGCACCTTCCGCCAGCCCCCAACCCCGGGACAACGCCGGCCCTTTGGCTGCAGTTGGAGGGGRAGTTAGAGGTGCCGATTTCGCTGCCGAGAAGGGCCCTCTGGGCCGAGATGCACCGCTTCTCTCAATTTCCAGCGCAATCTGCCTGGTTTGGGCCTGCCCTTACTTTGTCCTTCGGCGCGGAGCGCGCGCAGCCCCCCCGCCGCGGAGCCCTGCGCCCCTCGCRCTTCCCCCCCGCGGAGGCCCAAGCGCAGCCCAGAGCTGCGAGTCCCCGCGCCGGGGGGGGCGCGTAGGGCCCAGCGACTCGCAGCCAGCTTGTCCTTTCCCCGCCGCCCTCTCCCCTTGGCGGGGAAAGAATAAGCAGAGGAGGAAAAGAGGGGGAAAAAAATTAAAGTTGGAGGCAGTTCTGCACTCTGGGCGACGAGGCTGAACTTCAGAGGGGAAAAAAAAAAAAAAAAAGGCAAACAAAATGGGAAGCACAGAAAGCTCCGCGGCCAAAGCTGAAGCAGAGGCCGAAGAAGGAGGCGAGGGAGCTGCCGCTGGGCCAGGGCGCCCGGACACGCGGCACTGCGGGAGGCGCCGTTCGCTTTTGTCCGCGTCGTATCTCGGACTTGTGGCGCAARGGGCCCGCTCGGCGGAGGGGCAGGAGCCCAGGGGGCAGCTCGGGGCCCTGGCCCGCTAGGTTTCTGCGGAGCGGCCCGCGGGCCCTGCCCGCCGGATCCCGGGCAGCTGCGCAGGCTGCAAARGGGCCGTCGCTTCCTCCGCCGCCATCCGCGGAACAAAACTGGAGCCTCGCGGCTCCCTGTGCGAGCACTGGCCTCCCGCAGCCCCGCGGGCACCCGCGCAGCGCCCCGGGGACCCGCCGCTTCCTTCGCTTCCCCTCTCCCTTTCCTTCTTTCCCAGACTCCGAGGAGCGGGAGCTCTGGGAAAGGGCAGAATAATTCWCCCATCAGCAGCCTTTAAGAACGCAGCTACCAAAGGAAATTCACAGCTCTCTGAAGTGCTAACTTACAATCTCTGGTTTCCAGATTTCATTTCAGGCTGTGCTCCCCCTGCTCCCCCCTCCTTAACCAGATGACCTTGCTTCAAAACATTTTATTTCCAGCTGAAGTGAAAAATGCTAACATATTAGCTTCTGTAATTGCAATTTGACAGCACTTGATCTCAATAATTATGCTGCAGCTAAACTATTATTAACGGTTTAAGCTAAAATAAACGGAAATCCCTCTTTGGAAGCGAGCAGAAACAAACCTTTCAGATCATGCTGGGGGGCACTGGGCTCTTACCTGCATTGTAGGCTGCCAGGTCCGCGCCGGGCCCCGGGCTCTTCCTTTTCCTGGGTCTCCCCTTCTGCACAGTCCCCACGCCGTTGTAATAAGGCAGTCCCAAAGTGCTGGCAGAGCCCGCGCCCAGCGCCGGGCCCTTCCCTGCGGCTACATCCGAGTGATTGAAGTGCACCTGGTACTCCCCTTGGATGAGAGTCTCGAAGTGGAGGCGGCAGTACACCAGATTGTCCTTCATGCCAAAGTGGTCGCCGGTGGTCAGCATCTTGTTGCAAGTGGTGCAAGTAAAGCAGTTTAAGTGATAGACCAAATCCCTGGCCCTCATGACCATCTCGGAGGCAGAAATCCCCAGGTGGCATCTCGCGCATCTCTGCACCGAAAACCTCCTGCAAAACAGAACGGCCAGAGGGGACGGTGAGAGGCGCATCCCGCCTTGGCCAGAACTGCCCGGAAGGCGGCAAGGGGAAAGGGGCTGGTGGGGCCCGCCCGAGCCGGGCCATTTGCGAATGGGCCGTTTCCCGGGCACTCCCGGGACACCCTGCTCCGTCCGGAGAACGGCGCTGCCCGCACCCCGGCCCACAAACCTTGTCCGCGGCCCCGCAGCCCTGCGCCCTCGAGCCGCGGACCCTTCCTGCGGGGCCGCCCTTGCCCGAGCGGCTCCCCAGGGCCAGCCCTGCGCCGTGCAGGGGGCTGCAGCCCCCGCGCCTGGTGGCGCAGCCCCTACCTGTAGTAATCCTCCTTGCAGTAGATGCTGCCGTCTTTGCTGAAGCAGGTGAGCTCGGACTCCAGGTTGAGTTTGCATTCGCAGCACTTGAGGCAGCGCATGTGCCACTGCTTGTCCACAGCTAGCAGGTAGTAGCGGTCGGAGATTTTGCCCCCGCATCCGGCGCACAGGGCGGCGCGGTCACTGCTGATGGACGGCATGGTCTGCAGGGACAAGCGCGACTGTGAGCGAGCGGCCCAGGCCGCCGAGCGCCCCGGCCCGGCCCGACCCTGCCCGCCCGCACTGCCCCGGAGCGGAGCGCGGCTCCCCTGGGTCCCGCCGGCGTCTCCCGCCCCACAGAAAAGACGGGGCTGGGGAAGGAGGGCAAAAAACGTGGGGCTCGGGGGAGGCGCCGCGCACCGCTGTTTTGTGGCTCTGTCGCTCCCAGAACAACCGGGAAAGACGCGGATCAATAACGAACGCAACCGGCACAGAGCGGGGCAGAGCGCACAGCAGAGACTGGGAAATTCCTGGTTTGGACGCCGGGAGAGTGGCCGCAGCGGCAGGACGAGGAGCGGGTCTGTACCCGGCTGTGAGAGCCGCGGACTCGCTCGCAGCCCGGGAGCTGCGCGCACGGCCCGTCCTGCGCTCGCAGCCGCGCTAGCGCCCAACATTAACGGCACCAGCAAATAAACCCGCGGAGCGCGCGAGCTTTGCTAGCCCGAGGCGCGGGGCGCTGCAGCAGAAAACGAAATAGAGGGAAACGCGCGCGCAAGAAAGTAGGAAAAAACAGAACACGTTAGATTATGCCGGGATAAACTTGGAAGCAATAAAACTAAATGTAACCCCTATATAATTTAATAGTTTAGTGTCAAATCACAATCCAATCGAAACTCCCTGAAAGAAAACAAATAAGTACATCCATATTCTGTCAACGTCTACTGAAAAAAATATATATCGAGAGCCATGTAAGCACTTTTGCCTTCCCGGCAGCGCAAAGCGGCGAGGAGAAGCCGCGGGGACCGGGGACTGCGCAGCTCGGAGGGAGGTGGCGGGTCAGGCGGCCCCGCAGCCCGAGCCCCGCGCGCGTAGCACGGGGAGAGACGAGGAAAACGAAGCTATTTTCTTGCACCGAACACTTTCCTGCAACACTCGCACAGAGGACAAAATCCCATCGCTGATAGCATTTCTCCTTCCCCTATCCCCTACTGCAAGTAAATAAAATTATAGCTCTCTACTAGCATGTTGTCCACAAAGCTCCACTAATAACTCGTTTCTGTAACCCGTTAATAACCTCTGATTAGCGATCGCTTTATAACCGAAGTAATTTCTTCTAAACCCCCTTTAAATAAAACACAGTTTTTCGGCTTGGCTTTTCCACTGACAATATTCCGAGTTCCATAAACGGTATTTAAGGATTCATTTTTTTTATACCACTCATTATATACACGTGCATATGTATACAAATTATATAGAGATATCTAAGGTATCACACCACGATATTTATTCTAGTAAAGATATTTTGATATTGTTTAATTGTACATACAAATACTAACTTTTCTAAAGGAAAGTAAAACTATTCGGGATCATGTTCTGTCTTTGTTGTGTAAAGGCTCGTTTAGCCGATATTTCAAAATTATATAATCTTTCTATTACTTTTAGGTAAATTTCGACATAATCTGAAGAGAAATAACACATATTGATGAAGTTTTAAAAACTGAGAGCAGAAACATTTCTTACCCTTGCCCGTATCAGCTTACAAGAGAGCATTTAACCAAAATATGGAATCTTTGTAAATTCAAAATTACCATTTTCCCTGAACAAAAAGTAACACGCACAAAACGCGGAACCCCGCGTTGAGGCCCCGCAGAAACCTCCTCCCCGGCCGGGCAGCTCCGGCCGGAGGATGCTCCTTGTATCGTACGTGCTGGTGTCCAGCTACCCCGCAGCAGCAGCACGGCAGGAAAAGTGAAGAAAGTTACAAATAGGCTCATCCGTCCGCATCCCCGAGCGCATCTGCTAGCTCTGCTTCTCCTTTGCAAAGCCAACATTCATACATATTACTACTACACAGAATCATCAGTTAAAAATACTAGCGATGTTTTAATGCTCTAATGACTCCCTCCATGTAGCCATCCCACCTGAAAAATAACGGAGAAAGGGGCTCTGTGCTGCTTGTCTTTCCATCCTGCAGACAAAAATCTCGCTGAGCCAAAATGTTATCTGCATAAAAGCGCACTTAGCCTCTTCCTAAAAACTTTAGGAGGCCGGACGGGCTGGGGGAAGGGAAAGAAGGGAAGGGAAGGGAAGGAAAGGAAGGAGTTCTTGGACGCTACCAAAAGGCTGGTCTCTATTGCTGCTTTCTCACAAGAGCAGTACCGTTCATTTCACCCAACCGTTACTATTAGTATGCATATTATTAATAATTAACAGTTTCATGCCTTGCCGCACGTCTTAATTTAATCTTTTGGGGTACCCCGATGCTTGTTTTTTTTTTTTTCTTCTGATCTAGTATTTTGTATAGGCTTCCCCACGACCTATTATTTTAAGGGAAATCTTTGAGGGATTCGTTAAGTTTGGGGGCTTGAATGACTCTCCCACTCTTCGCCTCCTACCGTTTCGGTCTCTCCCCTGTCTATGGCCGAGCTGATGGCGGGCGCCTCGCTTTTGGCTCTCCGGTCCATCTCGTCGATGACCCCGTGCATCTCGGAGCCGGACAGACTGTGGAAAAGCATCGCTGAGGAGGCGGCGGAGGTGGCCCCGAGGTGCTGCTGCCGCTGCTGCTGCTGGCAGTGGTCGGGGTCCCCGCAGGAGCCCAGGGCGCGCACTACCCGGAGCCCTCCCCCATGCATGTAGCGCGCCCGCCCGCGGCTCGGGGCTGCGGCTCCCCGCCCCGGCGCGCCCGCTGCTCCGCGGCCCCCGGGGGCGCGGAAGGCGCCGTGCTCGGCTCTAGGCTGCTGCGGGGCCGCGGCGCGTCCCTCTTGGAGGCTTCTTCAGCGCGGGGCTCATGGCCCCAGGTGCGTCGCAGGCTGCGTCTTGGCTGAGGGAGGCCGGGCAGTGGGGAGGGGGCGAGAAATAAGAGGACGACAAAAAGAAATCAAACCATCTCCGCTGGGAAATAAATAAATAAAAATAACAACAGGGAGCAGGGAACTACAGGGCCCCGCGCGGCGCGCAGCGCTGGGGCCGCTCGCGCTCACGGCCCGCGGGGCTGGCGGCGGCCGCGGCGCGGGGGCCAAGTTTGGTGGCCGGCCAGCGCCTCCCTCCCCCCGCGGGCGCTCATTGGGAAAACGGAGGCCGGGGGGAGGCGGACGGGCCTGGCCGGGACGGGGCGGGCAGCGCGGGCAGCAGCGCGTCTGCAGCGGGAGCTGCGCGAGGCTCCGCGCCTTTTCTACGGCCCCTCTGACATCATGTCCTGCCCCGCCGCCATTGGCTGCCGCGGCGCCCGGGCATGTGCTGGGCGCGCAGGGTGCGCGGCGCTGCGCGGGCCCTGCTTGGCGCGGCGGCTGCTCCCGCCTGGACACCTCTGCGCCAGGGCGAAAGTTTCCTGCGGATCGCGACAGCCAGGATGTCCTCAATTAACGGGGCGCAGCCCCTCATTAGCGGCGCGCAGCTCGGCCCTAATTAGCGGCGCGCAACCCAGCGCGCTGCTCTCGCGATCGTCGCCCGATGCCAGGGGGCCTAAGCGGCTCCGTGCTCCTTCCCGAGGGCTCGCAGGGTGCCCGGGAAGCCCGAGGGCTCCCGACGAGCCAGTTTCTGCTGCAGGGCGGCAGCGAGGCCGCTCTTGCTGGGTTCGGAGCTCCGGAGCGCGGAGACAGCGCAAGGGGGGCAGCGCGGCCGCGCAGCCCCTGCGCCAGCGCCCGTCTCGCCCGCGACCTCGCCTCGCGGGCGCTGCGCGCTCCGGCAGGTGCAGCGCGGCCAGGAGCCCGCTCTTGGCTAACCCGCCAAATCCTCTTGCACCGATGCCCCGCTCTGCGCGTCCCGCGACGCCCGTGCGGCAGTGCTGCCCGCCTCACACACACACCTGTGCGCATCGCTCCGCGCAGGCCCGCGCGCCGCAGGGGAAGCGCCGCTCGCAGGGGTGAAGTGGCTCCGAGACCCCCGGGGCCCATGAGCACCAAACGTGCAAATCCCCGGGAGCGGCGGGGGGAGCTACTCAAACACCGCCTCAAAATCTGAGCTTGGAAGCAACGGAAACTCGTGCTTTAAATTCAGACAGGAAAGAGCAACTTCTTCATTATTGGAGTTGCAGAACRTGATGGTAAAAATGGTATATCCATTCCTGCCTTACGTTGCAAGACTCTGCAAGGTGCTAAGACTGCTACAAGACTCTGCAGGTACCRTCTGTGTGGGACGACCTGCCTCCCAGCATTGAAAGGTGTCCCCGAGCTCAGCCGGCACCTCCAACGCCATGCGCTGCTGTGGGCACTTTTGCCTTGGCTTTTCTTAAACAATTTGCTGCATATTTCCACAGAGCTGCACACTCCATTATCCTTAAGCATTTTAATACTGGTTTAATTTCCTATCACATAATTGATTACATACTTTCTCTGTGTATTTAGAGTTCTAAAAGGTCACGGATTCATATACTTTATCTGACACTACTAATTACCATAAAGATTATGTATATTTTATGTCATTACAGCATAATATTTTTTTCCGGTTGCACTGCCCGGGTGCTGGGGAGTGAAGGTCCCCATGGCATGGTACAGAGGGCTGGCATGACCCCCGCTCCCAGGCTATCCCTGATTGTCTCCTTAATGGATATGCAAACACGAGAAGACATCCAACCCTGGCTACCAAAACACAAGGAAAGTAACAGAATGTAAACACAAAGCTGCTAATGTACACACTGACACATGAATGACATTTACATTGTTCTGAATAAAATCCTGGATAGCACAGAATAATGAGCTACAGAAAAATCGCTATAGCAAAATAATCTTTTAGGATGGGATTCGGCTTGTTTGAAAAGAGATTTTTTTTTTTTAAGAACTGCAGCTAAAATAATAAAGTCTTTTAACCTGTATTTTGTTATAGGTGACAGGTGAACAAATCACAGGTCTTGAGTTTCTCTAGCCTGCCTCTCTTGGTAACGTCATCTCCAGTGCCATCTGCTACCTACCAGACAAACAGACCAACCACATAATGAGGTACCAGCTTCCACCCAGCTACCGTGACTAAGCCAGAACAAAAGAATCGACGCCTCCTGCAACAAAGGCAACCAGCCTGGCCTGGCCTGGCTAATTGCTGCCCTTCAGGTTGGCTGTTGCAGATTTTAAGTGAACTGCAAACTTCCATCAATACTTTATAGCTCTTGGATAAAGGTTCTAGGAATAAAAGATAAATGGAAGCAAAAGGTAAGAGAGAAGAAAGCTTAGAAAATAAGTAACTRCTTATGGTAATTTAAAGGCTGTGGAATAATATAAACATGAAAGACCAGGGGGCAGAGTGATTGATATCTCATATGTTTTTGATGCCCCTACGGTTATTAGACTGCAATATATTGGGACATACAATAAACTATGAATTAAAATGTAATTGTAGCTTCAGGCATCTTCTTCATTGTCTGCTGTGGTGTTATGTCTTCATGCACCGTGATTGACAAGGTGTAATTAATCATCTTACTCAGTTGTAAATATGGGCACCCTTCACAGTAGGCATCAGGAAGTGTGTACCAGCAAAGGAAGCAATAGTTGACGCTGATATACCATTAAATCAAAATCAGAACGCTTATATGTTCRGAAATGTGTGTTTGGTGTGATGCTGTTATCATTTATTTCTAAAATACTGTACCAACAGATTTACTTGATTTGCAAGTTAACTACAACATTAACTGGTTTTATTTATTTTGTCTCTTCTTCATTTTTATAGGCAGTGATGTTGTTCTCCTAAAATGTGAGACAGTTTGCTTCTTGTCAGCAAGCGGAGCTCAGCTCTTCATCTCCCTGAGCTGCTGGAGAGAGACTAGCAGGCTTYGGATTCAGAGGCTCTATAGACTGACTTGAAATGATTCAAGGAAATTATTACTCCACTTGTATATCACTTTTTATGTTCTTTATGTAACAAATGAGACACTTTGGGTCATTTTAAAGTGAAAGAGAATAATGAAATAATCTTACTAAGAAACGCCATACAGCTTAAAAATAGGACATTCTTGTCACAGATGCTGTCCCCAAACTGTAAAGAATGCGTTTGTAAAGACGTTTTTAGTATTCAACGGTAAGAAATATTTTATATGTTTCTCTTTCTGAATGATCACCATCCTTATCCAGTTAGTGCAAAAACAGTGTGTGAGTCACAGGAAATCTAAGTGGATTGTCTCAGGAAAATTTGGTGGTATGCATTTTTTTTAACACACATAGAGCTGTTGAATGAGTAATTGGCAACCCATTTAATGTCCTTTGCTTTAAAGCTGTCTAGTACATTTGCTGTTTTAAAAAAATGTCTTTCAAAGCTGTTAAATATGTAACAAGAAGAGGTTGCTTGCAACATTCTAACCCGAACAATGACATACAGCGAGCTGCCTTGGATACTTCCTGCACAGTATTAATTACAAACACAATAATACATGAAAATTTGCAAAGTTCTCAAATTTCATTTCTTTGTAATACCAGCTAATGAGTGTTTTATAAAAGCATACAGTAAAATCTCAGCCCAGCCATTAGCTATCAAATATTACCTACGCCATTTATTTAGGGAGAGCTTAGGCTCTACTGGAAGTGTACTTTTACCATTCACCCCAGACAGAAGCGGATTTGCAGCTGTCTCAGAAGTAAACCAAGCTGAAGACAGTGTAAAGAGCACACTTTAAAGAAAGCAATCAGCAAAGAACATGTTTTATTTTCATTTGAAAAGCTGTCAATCACTGCTAAAGAACACCAAAAAATATTCTTCTATAACATTAGGTAATTGTGTTTGTCTGGGAAACCAGGAATAAGCACAAAAATAAATACTAAAGTTTAAAAGGAAAATATTCAGAATGTTTTGCCCAGATGTTGCACACTAATTGTTTGTCACTAATTGTTTGTCAAACAATGGATTTCAGATAAAAATGCAAGCGTGTATCTACGCAAGTGAGACAGAAATAAGATCTCTTACATATTTTAGTTTATATAGCCACAGCTATTTAAACAATTCCAAAACTGCCTCTACGGGTGTCAAAGAGGGAGGGAAATCTTCAACCACATGATCTTCTCTCCAGAGTCCTGTTAAATCCACTGAACTTAAAACAGAACAAGAAGTGTGAAATATAGGTTTGAACATGTTATGTCAGAAATGTAAAGGTTGGAAGCCTTTTTAGTAACCGATATTAATATTGTATTAAATGTTATGAAAAGGTAGGTGTTGGGGAGAGGGGCTGGATCATGTGCAATTTTGTCAAGGTTTTTATCTGTGATTATGATTCCAGATGTATCTATTCCCCAAGGAGAAAAATGAAGTAAAGTTGGCATGTGACATGTGTTTTAAGGTGTTTGGCACAATTTCCCAAAGTGATGACAAAATGTTCATTTTTATTACAGTGAATTGGTAAAGAAAATACGATTGTGAAGGTCAGTAGCTGTATATTTTAGATAAAAGTGGTGTGTTATTTTGGAGAATATAGATTTTTAGTGCTGTCTTTGGATCTGGTTGCTTGACTGGAGCATCTACCACAGTAAAAAGAAACTTAAATAGAATGATTTTTACAAAATATGAAGGGCAATTGCTAATAATTTCAGTAAATTTCAGGCATAGTATATGATAGAGA